GGAGGTGCCCAGAGAGCCCAGATGGGGTCTTCACAGGGCATCCAAATGAGTTCCGATTTTGAAAACAAGTGTAGAAAGAGAGTGTTCAGGAAAAATCACAGCAGATACGATGAACAGACAGAAGTTGATTTTATTCCAAGACCATTACCTGCAGCCAGGGAGAGAGCACATACCACATCTGGATGCCCAGTGCCCGTGAGAAAAAGAGCTGGACAGTCTTTGAGACCTGGGGTGGGGAGAGCAGGCCACGTGTTTGCTAACTGGCCTCACCCAAAGGAACAGTCAACTTTCTCGTACCTTCATGAGTGGAGGCAGTTTTCCAGTTTGGAGCAAGGGGCCAGCTGAAATTAGTCTCCTACCCTCCCACAGAAACTGGGAGCCAGGGGCCCTGTCTTCCTTGACAATTACATTTGGAAGAGATGATTCTCAAGCCCTTGAGAAAGACATTCTTGAGTTGTAAAACTAGCAATAGACTTTTAAAAAGATTTATATCTCAAAGGAGCAGGGAAAGGATTTGAGATTGCAAGTTTTCTAAAGTAAATACTCCAAGAGAAGGGAGGTCAGAGGCCTAGACTCAGGAGGAAGCCTGTCCAAAGTTTAGTCAAGCTGAGGGGAATGTTAAGGCCGTCTTGGTCAGGGGCCATTCTTTCACACTTATGCAAGCTCACGTCAGGAAACTGTGCGAATAGTGTCAGAAAGGCTAAATCCAGACAGAAACAACCTATAACGACTGAAAAAGGCAGCTAACATATTAAAAAAGCTTTTGACAAGTTGCAATAGGAACAGAGTAAAGTCCTGAATTAGATTTGAAAAACGAACACACATTTTCGAGAACGTAGACATTTCACCCAACACCGTTTCAGATAAATAAAACTTAGAGTTAGAATTGACTCAAACTCACTGTGAGCCGAGAGTTTTGCTTCGCTTCCTAAAATAATTAAATTCTCACCAAGTAAATGGAGGTATAAAGTGAAACCTACTCTGCACTGTAATTGAATTACGTGGCCACATCTGAAGTAGCATCGAACCTTAGGAGAAGCGGGAGTGCCGAAGATCCTTCAAATGCAATGAGAAAAACACAGCAAGTAAACACCGTACTTGAGATTCCAAAACAAGCTTTAAATAATTGGTGCTCACATCTGACTCCTCAATTTCTCCCCCTCCCATAGTCTGACTTGTAGCTCTCATTCAGCAAATGGTTACCGAGCAGCCAGTACGTCCAGACTTTCTTCTCAATTATCTAACTTTTATTTTCTCATGGTGCTTACATTTATTGGGTGGATACGAATAATAAAACAATTCTATAGCAAATGGTTGTAAGTGCTTAAAAAGAACATCATGTAGGATAAGGGAGAGAGAAGGACAGAGGTAGAAATGATGTGGACGGGCAGAACTCTCCAGGCCGTTTCTCCGCAGCTCTCCCAAGCTGGACTTTCCAGGCTGCCTTCATCACAGTGAACTTGCCCCGTATTCCATCTGCTCTCTCTGACAGATGCATTTTTGTGGTGATAATAGGTGTGCTAAGCATAAGAGATATTTGATAACATAGTTTAAAAGTAATCAACGGTCTGCCATTTAGCACTAAAATAGATGAAGCCTTAGGCACATTTCAGAACAAGAACAGTGACTTTTCACTCCTGCAATGCTATCAATTTATATGATATACTTTGTGGATTTGCCTTAAATGCTGCCTGTTTTCTTTGGAGCTCAGCTTTTCTAAAAACTGAGTTTCCTTGCTTGAAAGTAAAAGCTCTATTCAGTGCTTAGATTTATCTAGGGCTTTTCCTTTTATATATTAAAAACAAATAATACTTTCATTGCTTTTATATATTAGTATACAGTATACTCATATTTACTTGCATGAATATGTGGTACTTCACATTTTGAAACTACTTTTCTAGCTATTAAATCGTTTAATCCTCATAACCATACTATAAAGAATTATTATCCCAAGCCTGGCCCCGGGGGCTGAGTGGTTAAAGTACCATGTGCTCTGCTTTGGTGGCCGGTGTTCACAGGTTCAGATCCCAGGCACAGACCTACTCCACTCACCAGCCATGCTGTGGCAGTGTCCCACACACAGAAAATAGAGGAAGGTTGGCACAGATGTTAGTTCAGGGCTAATCTTCCTCAAGCAAAAGAAGAGGAGGATTGGCGATGGATGTTAGCTTAGGGTGAATCTTCCTCAGCAAAAAAAAAAAAGAATTATTATCCTGATTTTACAAAGGGAATAGTGAAGGCCACTGAAGGTTGTGCCTGAAGTCCTATGCCTAGTAAATGTGAGAGCTACCAACAGAAAAGCAGGAGAAATGATTTATGCTCTTGGCTCAGAAAAGCCTCCATCTTTCCCAATTTAGAAATGAGAAGGCTGGACTAGGCGAGGTTTAGGTTCCTGTTAGCTCTAAGTTTGTGGTTTTGCTTTGGTGGTTTTGATAATTACAGCTTTGACTCCGTGTCCATATGGTACATCATGTGGTAGTAATTTGCATTATTAAAAGGACTTCTGAAGGCAAAATTGTCCATCAAAGGAAAAACTCAACTCTCGTGTTCATCTTGCATGAAATTAAGAGGCCAGATGAGACTATATCTAAGATATTTTCCAGTTCTATTATTCTACAAAGTGTTTTGTAGAACGGCAGTTTTTGTAGAATTTTGCAGTTTTCATTGCACTGTAGGGGTGGAAGAAATATTCCTCTATCCTCTAGGTTCTTCAGTGGCTGGTCCAAGAATTAAATTGAGATGATACAAAATAACAGGAGAAAATCAAACAAATTGACTAACATGTGTACATGGGAGAAAACAAGGAAAATTGAGTAACTCACCAAAGTGGCTGAAGCTACCACCTTAAATATCATCTTCAGCTAAAGACAAAGCAGCATGTTGGGGGAAGTGGCTTGGGACGTCGCAGGGGAGGAAGGCAATTCACATGGAGATGGAAAAGCAAAAATATTTGGTAAACAATGTTGGCCATGCCTTGCAGAGGCAATGGGACATGGAGAGGCCTTTGATCAAACGGGCCTTGCTAAATTCCTCCCTGTCTACCACATCTAGTCTGTATTATACTATAGTTATCTGTGGGGATAGCTCCTTCCTGGAACAGGCCTTCTATCTTAACTTCCTTTGAGCAGTTAGCAGGAAAGTCAAACTTTCTTTCTAAGTCTTTTGTTCTTAAAAATAATCAAGCCAAAGAGATACATTTTGGAGTGGCAAATTCTGCTCCCCCATAGTAGAAATTGCTTTTGTTTTTCTCATCCCTTTCAACTGTAAATATGCTTACCGATATTTATGCTTTTTTGCCCCTGTAAATTCGTAAGAAAATCTGTTTACATTCCCTAAGCACAGATAACTTCAGTGGCTCAGAAGCAGCCAATCTGAGTCCACAACTAGCACTGACCCGGAGATCTGCCTTTCCTGGCCAGGCTGATTTAAATATAGCTGATTCAAGAATATTAAAGTGTTCCTTTCCCAACCTCAAGTGACATTTAATTCATCTCACTGAGAATTTATTTTCTAACCAAGGACTCAAATGAAACCACATTTTAGCAGTTATGCTCCATAAAAAAGGTTGCACATATACCGCAGGTACTTTGAAGAACTTGGCAGAATTTCTGGACCCTTCTGCATCGAGAATGCGACCTGTGGTGGCATTGTAAAACCAGAGTAATTGCTCAAAATTCATAGCCTTCCCTTATTTAAATGATGTGGCTACCCACTTCCAAATATAAAAATAAAATTTATAGTACACAGCTAAAGAAGCAAGGCAAGAAGGAGAGAAGAAATCTACAACTAGCTGAATTTATATCCTATGGATTAGGATACACTGGAGCAGAGGAGGAGATTACAAGTTTCACTCGCTCCCTCCGTGGTGTGGGGCAAAGCACTTCTGCTCCCTGAGCCCTCAGTTTCCCACTTGTAAAATGAGGGGGTTGGGCTAGCTCAGTGGTTCCCAAACCCAGCTGGTCATCAGAATGGGGAAGGGGAGATTAACACACACACACATTCCTGCATCTTACCAGAGAGCAGAGCATTGGATCAGCCCCAGGTGGAAGCAGTAAGCAGAAAGCTGTATTTTTAACCAGCTGTGAAAGAGGCATTGATGATCTGGAAAGGCCTCTTACCCCGCACTCTGACTCCAATTCCTGCTTCCCACTGCCCTCCAGCTTCTGCCCAGCTGCCAAGAAACAGGGTTCCCTTAACTTACGCTCGTCTACAACCCCTCCACCCCTCCTCTATGCAAGTAAGCAGCCCCCTCGTGCTGGTATATCTTCTGCTTCACAGTTGTTTCTCCTCCCATAACTGCTCCATAATTGTCTTCTTTCCCCTAATCCTAGGAACACTCCCATTCTGCTTTGGTAAGAGTTTCTTGCTGTAATTAATAGTGTATTTGATTCAACTGGCATAACAGTTAAGAGCCAGGTTTGGAATCACACAAACTACTCTGCCACTTACTGTCTGACCTTGTAAATCACTTAACCTCCCAGAGCCTTACTTCCTTTATCTGTAAGTTGAGGATAATATTACCTTCTTCACTGGGTTTTTGTGAGTACACACTTTCTGCCCAATAAATATAGCCATTGTCTCTGTTGCTATCACTTTAAAGAGAGCAAATCCTTCTAGAAGAATATAATTTAGAGGGAAAAAGAACCGCATTTTCAGTTGGATGAACTCATGGTAAAATATATATAGTACACCAGATTGGGCTTTGGAAGATCTGGAACCTGGTCCCATCTCCTCATTGTGTGACCTTAGACAAGTCCCTTAATCTCCCAGATAGTAAAAAATCTTTTCATATAGCTTTAAGCTTTTGCCAGTTATCAATCTATTTCTTCTCAGGTCCAAATGCATAATTTATTGCCTGCCTATGTTAATTGAGCTGGGCCCCTTAAACATGTTTTCTTTGTCAGCGGGCACAATAGTAAGCTCTGTCAGTAGAGGGCGCTAGAAAGACAGTGCGGAAGAAACGGATTTTCCCTCCTAGTGACGTTCTGTTTGCTAAGCAGGCTTCTGCGGCACACGCTGCTTCTCCAGCGCCCAGCTCCCGCAGCAACAGTGGCTTCCCCAGAGCCTGGCTCCTGAGATGAACAGCGGGAAGCCGTTCCCCCGACTCAGAATCCTCTCGCCCAGGCAGTTTTGTATTACAGTGCCTCAGGTAGGACACCTTTCTGTGAAGAACTTTCTCTAGCCCCTAGACAGTGGATTTCCTACAAGTTCAAGGGGCAGATTCCCAGCAAGTTCTACTAGAGAGAAACCACAGCAATTTCCCTACCATCCAGGGGTCCACAGCAGAACCTTCTCCAGCGAGGTCTGGATCTGACCCTGGGGGTGAGGGAGGATCTCCTGGGGTGCTCTGTTAGCTCCAGAGGGCCTGGCTGCTCCCTATATCTGCTAGCCCTGTCTTCTTTAGAACTCCCTTTATTTCTCACTCTCCAAACCCTCATTGCTCCAATCCCTTAACCGTTGATAATTCTTTAAATTAAATTTTCTCTATTCAGTATTGTGTAGTTTTTGGTCTTCTGGTTGCACATTGACTGATATACAGCTCTAAGATTTTGAGACCCAGCAATACTGATTTTAGACATGATGTTATTAGGAAAGGGGCCTTCTAATCTCACGGCTGGGACTCCCAGAGGGACATGATTTCTGAAGTGAGATGTCAGTGGAGGATAACAAGATTTTTGGAAGAGGAGAACTATATTTGAAGGACAGATAAACTTTGATTTAAGATGCAAAAGAGATATTCTTCTTAGAGTCCAAAATCATCCAAATAATCGAGGGGGCATTCCAAAGCTTTGATTTGGTTCTGCATAGCCAGGAGTCAGCCAAACTGTGAGGCTAAGGGCACAGTCCTTCAGACACCAAGTCTGCCCACACCTTCTGATGCCAACGGCAAGTTTGGGAGTTCCCAAAGCCACCCTTGGGTTTGATCATTCTCTGGAAAGACTCACAGAACTCACCATTAGACTTAAGGTCACATTTATTACAGGGAAAAGATATAAATTAGAAGCTGCGAAAGGAAGAGGTGCATAGGGTAAAGTCTGGGAGGGGTCCGAACATGGAGCCTCTAGTCATCCTCTCCCCACGGAGTTAAGGACAGACAGCATTACCTTCTCCCGGCCATGATGTACAACAATATGCACAAGTATTGCCAACCAGGACAGTTTCCCTGAGCCTTGCTGTCCAGAGTTTTTATTGAGATTCATTACATAGGCATGGTTGATCGAATCATTGCTCACGTGGTTGACTCAATCTCCTCCACCCTCTTCCTCCTTAGAGACTGGGCTCACCTCACACGGCCAGGGGGCCCACATGAGCCACCTTGGGAGGAGGTAGCATACCCTATCAGGTGAAGTCCAAGGGTCCCACCGTGAGTAACGAAGATACTCTTGTCACTCAGCAAATTCCAAGGGTTAGGAGTTTACCCCCAGGAATCTGGAACAAAGGCTAGATCTCTCTTTGTGCAGGCCAAATTCCTTAGTACCTGTGCACCAAATACACTGGAGAGCTAAAGTAAGAGAAGCTATAGTAGTTATTACACTATAGCCAGATTTTATTGGAAACGAAAGTAGCTGTTGACATAAGGTGAGTCTTATTGAAAGGATGATAAATTGCATATAAAAAAGAGGAGGCAGCAGCAAAATGTTCCAGGATTTGCCCCCTCACCATTTTTCACCTGTACTTTCAGCTTTGGGACCCAAGGTTTCATACAATGGCATGAAAAATCGATTTAGAAGAGACATTAGTCACATTAAATTCCGATTCCCTTCTTTTTACATAACACCATTTTCGTCTGTCTACACCAGCCTGCTTGTCGTGTTGTAGATTTGCCTCTATAAGCATTCTGAAAGCGTGAAGAAACCACTCCTTGCCTCTGTCATCCCTGCCCAACCACAGGGAGGGTTAGGATATAAAATCTCCCTGCCCCGTTAGTTCTGTGGTCCTGTGGTCTCTTCTGGCCTCTGGCCTCTTGTTCTAAGTGGTGTTATATGCTAAATGCTTAGATCACTGTTCTACATTTGTACTTATTCAATTATATCAGGGATGGCTCCAGGGAATTTCAAAATGTCATTATATATAGTGAATAGCAGAATACCATGCAGATTGTTTGAAATAGACATGGAATTGTATTTCCATGGTTACCTTCTTATTACGTTTGTTCCAGCTAAACTGTATGTGGTAAAAGGCAAAAGGAAATGAAGGTGAACTGGCTAAGGAGAGTAGATTGGATATCCATAAATTCACAGTAACCAACCTTGATCTGCGCTCAACACTGCCAGACATACTTCTACATTTGTCTGGTCAACTCATTCTTCTTCTCTTGTTTTGATCTACTACTCTAAGCTCAGATCTTAACTCTCCCTTCTTCTTCAAATTAAGCAGATGAGGGGCCAGCCCTGTGGCACAGTGGTCAAGTTCACACGTTCTGCTGTGGCAGCCCAGGATTCACCAGTTCGGATCCTGGTTGCGGACCTATACACCGCTTGTGAAACCAAGCTGTGGCAGGCATCCCACATATAAAGCAGAGGAAGATGGGCATGGATGTTAGCTCAGGGCCAGTCTTCCTCAACAAAAAGAGGAGGATTGGCAGCAGATGGTGGCTCAGAGCTAATCTTCCTCAAAAAAAAAAAAATTAAGCAGATGATGTCACCATTTACCTTAGAGAGAAAGTACAAGAATTACATACATGCATGCACACTCACACACAAATGCCTAATATTCACTCTTGCCATACAGTGCTTGTCCTTGGTTAAGGTACAAGTATGGCCCTTTTGCCTATCCAGGGTCAGTGACTCTCTATATGTTTTCAGTCTCATCATTTTCACTTTTCTCTGGAAAATTGCATTATTAGTTGTCCTTCTTGTTCCTTTTCTTTCTTGTACATTGCAACATCTCTCCGGGTTCTTCCATTGATGTTTAAATATACTTGAGTCTCGCCCATTTAAAAATAAAACCCTTCCCTCTCTGCTACCTCCTGCACCAGTTAGCAGCCTGACTCTCTCCTCACCTCTAAGGTCAAACTTGTACAAAGAAATGTTCAACTCACCTCCAACTCACTCCTCTAACTACGCCAGTCTAGAGTTTTGCCTCTGTCATTCCACGGAAGCAGGTCTCATGAAGGGCACCCAAAATCTCCTGTTGCTGAATCCGGTGGATATTTACGGGCCTTTTCTTACTTAACTTCTCAGCGTTGTTTGACTCTGCTAACCACTCCCTTCTTGAAACATTTTCTCCCCCAGCCTCCCGGGGCATGATACTCTTGATTTGGTCATAGCTGTGGCTGCTCACTGCAAACTCTTTTGCCTTCTTTACTTAGCCCTTTAGTGTTGAAGCTCCTAAAAGTTCTATCAGAGACCCTATTATATTGTCACTTGGCACTTTCTCTCTTGGAACCATCATTTATGCTCCCATGCCCATTGCTCCCTAAGCATGGATGAGTCCAAAATCTATATTGCCAGCTCAGAGAGCTCCTTTGTATTTCAAGAATGAACTTGCAATGGTCAACTTGACAAATTGTCTAAAGCTCTTCGGGCATAACACATCCAAACCACACTTATGACTCCCTTTCATCAAAAGTTTTACTCTTCTTGTGATGGTCCATGTTGCATCCATTCGGTTTCTAAGACAGAAATCTGGAGGTTTTCCTTGATGCCCTCCTTTCCCTTACACCCTATATCCAATCCATCACCAAGTTGAGTCAATTTTATCACTTGAAAATTTCTTAAATATATGTACTTCTTCAATCTCCAGGGACCCATCCCAGTCTAAGACACTATAGTCTTTCTACCAGACATTGACAGCAGTCTGCCCACATGCATCCCTGTCCATGTTTGCACTTCTCACCCACCCACCCTAATACACTCACCGTGCTGTAGCCACAGTGATCTGATGAGGTCACCTCTGCTTAAAACACTTTAGTGGCTTTCTATTTCTCTTAGGATTTGGATCAAAACCCTCGAGTAGCTTACAAGGCTCGGTTTGTCCTGGCCCCTACTCATCCCACCCTCTCCTGCCTCTTGCTTTCTTTGTTTTAACCATGTTGACCACCTACGATTAATTGAAGTGCCATGCTGCTTCTTGCCCTGTGGTCTGTGGGAAACACTCCTGCTCATTTGCTTTAGCAGGGTGATTCCTAACTCATCTCTGGATCCACTTCACTCATCACCTCTCCTAGAAAGCCTTCCTGGTATTCCTGTCCAGATCAAATCTTCCTATCATCAGATGCCCTCATGGTGACATTTACTTCTCCTCATTAAACGTAGCACCTTATCATGTTATATGTATTCATGTAATCATTTTGTTAATCTTTATCTCCCCTGTAAGGCTATACATTTATGGAGGACAGGGAACATATCAACTCATTCTGCCCCCAGGATCTAACATAATGTCTGATTATCGTTAAGTATTTGTTAAGTACATAAATAAATGAAAGAACTTTTACTAGTTTTTTCTCTTTTTTTTTTTTTTTTTTGAGGATGATTAGCCAGAGCTAATATCTGCTGCCAATTCTCCTCTTTTGCTGAGGAAGATAGGCCCTGAGCTAACATCCATGCCCACTTTATATGTGGGACTCCTGCCACAGTGTGGCTTGACAAGCAGTGTGTAGGTCTGCCTTCCGGGATCCAAACTGGTGAACCATGGGCTGCCGAAGCGGAACATGCAAACTTAACCTCTGTACCACCAGGCTGGCCCCAACTTTTACCAGCTTTTGAAATACAAAATCACTCACAGAGAGCAGACATTCTACATTTGAGGGTAACATCGAGCCACTTAGGGGGAGCAGGTATTTTGTGGATTTCCCTTTGGCTGCCCCTAATGGCCAAAATGTGCTCCTCCAGAACTTGGGGAGCCTCAGAGGTGACCCAGAGCGCAGCAGGAGGTGGACGAGGGGAAGCTTCAATGGCAGGGAACCAAAACCCTGCCCAAGCCCTCTGCTCCACTTGAATCGGACAGATTTTGTTTTTCCTTGTGTTATACATTAGACTTCCATGAAATACTTTGCTTGAATAAGTGCCTACTCTTCCTCATCTCCCTCAAAAGAGCTTGAAAATTATTGGACTAGGTAAATTTCAATGGACAGATAAGAAAACTGAAGCTCACTTTCTTTCTTTTTCTTTTTCTTTTTTTTTGAGGAAGATTGGCCATTAGCTAACA